GAGATAGGTGGATCTCTGAGTTTGAGGCCAGCCTGGTGAATTCCAGGACAGCCAGAGCTACACAGAGAAACTGTATCAACTCCCCCACCATCAAAAAGAGACTTGGAAGAAGGAAGCTTTGCCTTTTGCCTTTTGCACTCTTGTTGGTAAGTTCATCTATCCTGTTGCTGCCAACTTTTTCAGGATGCCAATGCAGACTGAAGACTAGCAGCTCTCCAGGAATCCTCCAGGGCTCCTGCACCAAATTGGGACCGCAAAGACATCAGCCTCATGAATGGAACAACTACTGGATTCTCAGCCTTTCCATTGTGAGACAGCCACTGTTGACAACCCAGACCACATCCTATAAGCCAGTCCAATAAATCCCTCCCCCACACACATATATGTTAAAAAGGAATTTCTATCAGTTCTGTTCGTTCAGAAAACCTTAACTAATAAGTACACCATTTCGTGGAATTCTAATGAAGTTAAAATAAAATATAGGTTCATAATACAACACAGGTAAGCCTTGAGAACAGCTAAATGAAATGTTCAGTATATGTCAACTTATAGGACAGAAAGTAGACTAGTATAAGCTGGAGCTGAAGGAAGATGGAAGGTCTAGGGGAATGATGGCTATACTGCATAGTGCATCAAAGTAATGAAAATGTTGTAAAATTGATTGTTGTGGTACAATCTGTAAACACTCTAAATACCACCAAACTATACAATTTATATGAATGATTATAGTAATGGTTTATACATTATTACAAAAATAGTTAAAGTAACTATAAAACTTTTATAAGATAGCAGAATAATAAAGTCAAGTGTGGTGGTATATAGCTAGAGCCTCAGCTCTCAGAAGACTAAGGCAGGAGGATCATGAGTTCAAGGCCAAACTAGGCTCTATGGTAAGACCCTGCTGAAGAGAGATGGGTGGGAGGGTTGGCATTCTGGAGTTCAGAAGCTTTACTAAAACATGAAATGCATTACCAATAATTAAAATTTGACAAAGTGGACTTTATCAAAATTTCTAACTTTTGTTCTTTAAAACACTTTAAAAAATAAAAGGGCGCCGGGCGGTGGTGGCGCACGCCTTTAATCCCAGCACTTGGGAGGCAGAGGCAGGCAGATCTCTGTGAGTTCGAGGCCAGCCTGGTCTCCAAAGCGAGTTCCAGGAAAAGGCGCAAAGCTACACAGAGAAACCCTGTCTCGAAAAAACCCAAAAAAAAAAAAAAAAAAAAAAAAAGGGCAAGCCACAGACCAGGAGAAATACAAAACATCTAAGAGAGAATTTATATCCAGTATACATAATTCTTATTCACAAAATAATAAAACTCAAACTTTTAAGTGGACAGAAAATTAGCAGAATCTTCACATCAATGATAACACATGAATGGCAGTTAATCATAAGGAAATCAATTCATTATCAATGAGTTATTGGCTAAGTATAAATTAAAACTAAAGTGGGATACCACTATACCCACAAGAATTTCCACAGTGGGGGCTGGAGAAATGGCTCCATGGTTAAGTGCACTTGCTGTTCTTGCAAAAGATCATACCAGGCAGCTCACAGCTTCCTATAATTCCAGCCCAAGGGATCCAACACCCTCTTCTCACCTCTCCAGGCACCTACAAACAGTTGGCATACACTCACAGAGACACAGACACACACACAGACACACAGACACACACACACACACACACACACACACACACACACACACACACACACACACAAGTAAATACAAAATACAAATAAATCTTAAAAGACTGACAAGACGGCTCCACGGTTAAGAGAATGTCCTGGTCCTGAAGAGAACCCAAGTTGGGCTCCATCTAGAGGCTCACAACCAGCTCTAGCAGGATCTGAGACCTCTGGCCTCAACACTGGCCCCTGTGGGCACTTGCACACAGACACAAACATATACACTCACTCTCCCCCTCCAGCCCCCATCTCAAAAATAGCAGAAAATAAACCTCTTTAAAAAAAATGAGGAAGACTAAAGCTCAAGGCTGTAACGCAGTGGGAGAAATTATGCTTAGCAAGTATAACACCCTGGGTTCAGTCCTGGCATAAATAAATAAAAAACAAAGGACAAACAAAGACAAAAAAGACAGGCCAGGCACAGTGCCTCACCCCACTCTCTAACTGAAGCACTCGGGAGTCTGAGGCCACACCACTGTGAGTTAAATGCCACCCAAGGACACCTGGCAAGTCCCTACCTGGGGGGAAAAAAGTATTAAAATACCACATATTGAGGTTATAGAAAAACTAGAATTCTCTATTGCAAATGAAAATGAAAACATGACAAAGGCACTTTTGAAAAGTAGTTTGTCAGTTTCTTTTGAGTTTTTAAACAGGGTCTCCTATAGACTGGCCTCAAACTTTCTGTGTAGCTGAGAATGACCTTGAACTGCTGATCCTCCTGAGTGCCGAGATCACAGGCATACTCTACTACACCTGTTTCTGTGGTGCTAGGGACTGAACCAGAGCTTCATGTAAACTCGGCACAGTTCCTCCCACTGAGTCACACCTCCAATCCAAGTCTGGCAGGGATTTATTTGTGTGTGTGCAGTGGACGTCGGAGTGTGTGCCTGAGTGCAGACCTGTGTAATGCGGGCGTACAGACAACAGAGGGCATTGAATGTCCTCCTCCATCACTTTCTGCCTTGTTAGCTGGAGGCAAGGGCTCTCGTTTCTCAGGCAGTCTGACAGCCAACAAGTACTAGAAATAGTCCTGTCTCTACCTTCTACAGTGTAGAGTTACAGGTGAGCAAGAAACCATATGCAGCTTATTGCAGAGGTGCTGGAATCTAAACTCAGGTCTTCATCGCAGTGCAGCAAGCACTCTTAACCACTGAGCTATCTTGTCAGCTCTGACAATTTCTTGTAAGGTAGAGGGTCAGTGAGAAGGCTCAGCTGGTGAGGGTGCTTGCCACAAAGCCTGATGACCTGAGTTCAATCCCTGGAACCCACATGGTGGAAGGAGAGAACCAATTACTACACGTTGTTCTCTGACCTCCAGACACCCATGTACACCCACATCCATACCCAACCCCCAACACCCAAATAATGTAAAAATTTAATAATAATAGAGGTGGAAAGGATGATGATCTCAGGCCTCTACATGCACACACACACACACACACACACACACACACACACACACACACACGCACGCGCACGCGCACACACACACACACACACACACACACACAGTTGTAGTAAATAATCTTTATTGGTAACCTGACTGGATACAGAATCACCTTAGCGATAACCTTCCATTTCCAATGAAGTTGAACTTGAGGGAAGGACTCCCCTGAATGTGGGCACAATTCCTAGGCTAAATTGAAAAGTAGAAAGAAGAAAGTGAGTTAAGAAGCAGCACTGGTCTCTCTCTGCTTCCTGAGTGTGGATGCAGTGTGACTAACTGCTTGATGCTTCCACACTGCAGCTGGAAGCACCCCAGTCACCACGCCTTCCCTAATGTGGCAGTCCTCTCAAACTCAAAGCCAATAAACCTGCGATTCCTCAGCTTCTTTCCGTCAGGTATTTTGTTGCAGCAACAAAAACAGTAACTAATACACATACATATTATATGTTTCCATGTGTCTGACATTAAAAAAAAAGAGAGCGCAAAATATAGAGACAGAAAATAGATCAGGGGTGAGCAAGGGACAATAACTGCAAAACAGAGCAAGGAGATTTGGGGCATGATGAAAATATTGTCCTTATTGTGGTAAGAGATAAAAGACTATGGACATCATTAAAACTGGACCTCTAGCTAGATGAATGATGAAACATACAGAAATTTGGCTAATACAGCAAGCCTTTTACAAAAGAAAAATTAGTAGTTTCATTCCTTGTCTCAAGGCTACAGAAGTTGCCAAAGCCATAGGTAATTCTCAAAGGTTCCATAATCAATCAGCTCTCATTTCTAAACTTTGTGTATAGCTCTAAGAACACAGAGACCATGCTGACACAAAACCCATGTGCAATTATTCCCAGCTAACTTCAGCGTTCTGTTCACCTCCCCATTGGGAGGAAGAATTCCTCAAGCGTTCACTGGCTCATTCCTACAGAAGGGACAAATCCAAGTTTCAGAGGTGCTAACTTTAATCAGCAGATCAGCCTTTTATAGAGTGCTGACCCCGGAACTTTGCACACGATAGTTAAGCACTCTACCCACTGAGCCATATTTCCAGCCCTACAGCTCTAAACACCTGTGGTCCGTTTGCCAATATCTAACAGAACCCACTGCATTTCCACAAAGGATAAAAGAATTAATGCTTATCATGTCAACGTTTCTGAAACAATCAAAGGCAAATAAAACATAGTGCAAACGAGAGAAAACAGTCTGGAATATTAATAGTAACTACGTTTTGAAGACCAAACAGCATCAGGAAATGGGCTGTCACATATCACCTAAAATTCAAGATGAGTTCTACTAATCCACAATAGCTACAAAATAGAAATGTGTAAATAGCTCACGGGAATTACAGTCAGAGTATATTAGGACCACAGAGAAAAAACTCAGGAGTCATTCATGCACATAGACATCACCAAGAAATGAAAAGGAACAAGATATGGAAAGGAATAAGTATAGGGATACACAGGTTTCAAAATAACAAACCTCTGTATTATCCGAATATTTTGGAAAATACCTTTCAAAATTAATCTTGGTCTATAGCTCAGAGCCAACAGTAAATCAAACAATTAGCAAAGACATATGGCAAAAGAAATTCATGTATTTTTACAAAAGACCAGGATACAAACTTGAAACTGTCAGGAAATAAAATGTAATTGTACTTAAGCAGAAACAGGACTCTTCATTAGTGTTGGTCCATCCTGCAATAAGTCAATCAGTGCCAAGATGTTCTCTGAGTGAAACCCAACTTCCTGACAGACAAACTCACCTAGGTAGCAGCAGTCTTTTATTTTACTGCTTGAAATATAGTCATGAGAGTGAGGGAAATAAAAGCTCGATGTTTGAGGATCAAGCTGGGCTGACACTCACCACAAACTTCTCACCATTCTGCTCCACATGTTTGTATGTGGGGACCGATATGGGCACTGCTTGCTTTTCTGTGTAATCATAAAATGACTGTCCCAAGGAGTCGTCACTGGGATCTAGGTTGTCAGCCTCATGAGGAGGTACAGACAGCACTGTCAAGATCAATTCCTTCTCTCCCGCTCGGATCAGGTCCACCACCTGCTTGTGTGTCGCCCCCTCAACATTCACGCCGTTCCTACGGGGAAAAGGGAAAAAAAACAATCCCATAAACCACAAGGGTCCAAACACTTTGTGACTCCACCCCCTGTCCCCACTCCAGGGTCACAGTATGAACTATGAAATCAGAAGATTCATCTGGTTCCAGGAAAGCTGTCTGTCTTTCCGGAATCTAAAGTGAAACTCTGTGAACTTATGGCAGGGAGAGAAAATGCCAACACATGAGAGACCTATCCTCTCTCTAGTCTAGAATCAGGAAAGCCGTAGGAAAGACAGACGGTGCTGCTGGGAAGAAACAAAGCTCTTTCAGCTAAACAGTCTACTCTCCTCACCTTAACCAGCCATATGTACAATGTAATCAAAGCGGCTTGATAATTCTCCCATTTTTATCATAGTCTGTTCTCCTACACTTCACAGAAATTTCCTAAGATTTATTTTTATTGTTTTAACTATGTATATGTGTGGGTATGTGCATGTGAGTGCAGGTGCCTGCAGAGGGCAGAGGCCTGGAGCTAGAGTTACAGGCAGTTGTGAGCCATCCAATATGGGTGCTGGGAACCAATCTTGGGTCTTCTATAAGAGCAGTATGCACTCTCAACCACTGAGTCATATCTCCAACTTCAGGAATTTTCTTGGAGAAAAAACAAAAAAAAAACCCTGCCAGGCACTGGTGGCACACGCCTTTAAATCCAGCACTCAGGAGGCAGAGCCAGGCGGATCTCTGTGAGTTCGAGACCAGCCTGGTCTACAGAGTGAGATCCAGAACAGGTACTAACACTACACAGAGAAACCCTGTCTCAAAAAAAAAAAAAAAAACAGGGGAAAAAAAAAAACAAAAAACCTCCCTTAGCCAGGTAGTGGTGGCACTGCCTTTAATCCCAGCACTCAGGAGGCAGAGGCAGAGTTTGAGGTCAGCCTGGTCTACAGGACAGCCAGGGCTACACAGAGAAACCTTGTCCTGAAAAACAAAAACCAAAAAAAAAAAAGACAAAAAGACCTTCCCTTTGTAGAGATTTAAGTGTGTATGTGTCCCCAAGACAGCTCCTTTACATTAAATATCTATTTTCCCCATATCTCCAAATTCCTCTTCCTTTATAGCAGCTCATTATCTTGAAAGTTAAAAAGAATTAAACTGCACATAGACTGGTTTCCTCTCTCTCTTGGCTTTTAAAGGAGCACTACTTCTCTAAGTGACCCAACTTCCTTTGCTCTCCCAGTCAGTCTAGATAATCTCTCAGGATTCTAGCTACCCATTTCCTGCTCCGTACATTTCACTCAAAACTCTGTAAAATCACCCAAACCAAGAAATACACACCTACAGTTATACAGTAAATCAACCCCACTCATGTTCCTGCTGCTCACTTGTACGCAAGGCTGAAATAAGGAAAAGTGTAAGATCTGAAAGAACACCACTCTGTCAAGAAAGATGCTGAGTCTCACAGCCCTCAACAAACTGAACCACCTCCTGAGCAGCTGACCTAACGAGCTGCCTCAGCAAAAACCACGGGGCAGCTGGCCTGGAGGGTCCATCCCTACACGGCTCTCACGAGAGCTCACTTCCAGATGTAAAACTCATCTACAAATGTAAAGCCTTTTGAGTTAAATTATTTTTTCAGTTCTGTTCCAAACCATTAGGGTTTTCCCTTCCTGAAAAGAAAGAATGCTAAGGTTCCTAAGAAGCCTTCCGCAGTTTTCAGTCACGCAGTTTCCAGGCTCGCCTCTGTCAGAGTCTGGTATCTGAGCAGACAGGAGAGGCCTCAGCTAGCCTCCTCCCTTATATTCAGTCTAACAATCTAGCCAGTCAATCCAGCTGGGTATGGTAGGACACAATTGTAGCACCCAGGAGGCTGAAGCAGGAGGATTGCCTCAATTCTAAGACCAGCATGGGCTATATGGCAAGACCTGTCTCAAAAAACTTAAAAAAAAAAAAAAAAAATCTATGATCCTCAAAAGTCTTGACATTTCTCAAACTAAAATTCTAATTATAAGCAAACTCTTAAAAGTAGTAATTAGGGAGGGGGGGAGAACAAGGGAATCCGTGGCTGATATGTAGAACTGAATTGTATTGCAAAATAAAAATAAAAAAAAAGTAGTAATTAACCAAAAACAGTCAGTTCTATATATAAAAATTAAGGGTCCCTTTGCTGATGGAAATCCCAACTCGCACAATCTGAAGAGAAACCAGAAGATGGAATTCCAACTTTCCAAATGTAACCCCAGCTCTGGAGGCAGAGGCGACAGAGTCTCTATTTGCAGGGTGACAAGAGCTGACAGTTTGAAGAGCCAAAGAAAGAGCAGACAGGAGGAAGGAGGAAAGCAAACTGTGCAGGTGTATACAGCTCAGTCATGGAGAGCCGTGTGTGGGGGGGGGGGTGTATACAGCTCAGCCGTGGAGAGCCGTGGGGGGAGTGTATACAGCTCAGCCGTGGAGGCGGGGTGTATACAGCTCAGCCGTGGAGAGCCTGCTGGGTTCACTTTAGAGTTGGGGGCTGGCAGAACACTGTGCATGAAGACATTTGAGGGAAAGGAGAAACTGAAACCAAAACTTATGGGTTGGCAAAGGAGTTCACCTAGTTCTTTGGGCTTAGTACTTCTGAGAAAACTAAACTGTAAAGGTTAGAAATCAGCACAGAACTCATCTATCCTTAGGAACCTTAGCTTATTCACAAATATCCATTTTAATTTTTCAATAAAATAGAAGACATAAGACATCTCAGAGACTGAACAATACCCTAGATGCTAACAAGATTTTTTTGTGAACTTATCCTCAAATCTTACTTTTTTTAGTCCCCAACTTTTTTCTTTCCTTTTTTTGGGGGGGTTGGTTTTTTGAGACAGGGTCTCTACAGAGCCCCATATTTTCAAGCCTTTACAGGGTTTTTTGTTTATTTTAGCAGAGCAAACACGGATTTACTAACGAGAGGAAAGCAGGAGCAGGAGGCCCTCCAAGGGAGGCATGAGCACATTTTCCAGCTTTCCCTGACAGGATCCCACAAGCGGCCACACCCTGACTGAGTTCTGCTGCTGCAGTTCCTCTAGTGTGGGCTTTACGGCATATGTCACCCCACTCAGTCTTGGAGAACTTTGTACAGGCTTGGGAGTTAGGGGCCCTACAAAATCTATACGCAAAAGTATATTTGTGTCATGTGTCTTTCTTTGAAGGGAGAAGTTCCATAGCTTTCATTGGTTTCAAAAAGGAATATGTGGTCTCCAAAAAGATTTAAAACTACTGATTTCAGCCAGGTAGTGGTAGCACACACCTTTGATCCCAGCACTCGGGAGGCAGAGGCAAGCTAATCTCTGTGAGCTCGAGGCCAGCCTGGGCTACAGAGTGAGTTCCTGGACAGCCAGGGCTACACAGAGAAAGCCTGTCTTGAAAAACCAAAAGAGGGAGAAAAAAAAAACCCTAATGATTTCAAAACACAACTTTACTAAGTTGTCAACAGAAATGAACTACTCCTTGAGTCACTCACAAAAATTCCCCCTGAAACTGGCCACAGTAGCACACACTTTTAATCCCAGCACTCCAGAAGCAGAAGCAGGCAGACACATCTCTGTGAGTTCAAGGCCGGCCTGCTCTATATAGTGAGCTCCAGGCCAGTGAGACTGTGTCAAAAACAAATAAATCCAGAAAAGACTCCAGAGAAATTTAAGTGAGTGCTATAAACAGCCAGAGAGCAAAGGGAACAGCTTAAGTTCCCAATCTTTGTTACCAAGAATGTACTTCCAACTGGCTAACATCCCAAAAGCTTCACTAAAAAAAATTAATACAGTCAAGAGGTGGGGATACGGCTCAGTGGTGGAGCATGTGCACAGCTTGTATGAGCCCTGGATTCAACCCCAGCATCACAAATGAAAAAGACAACACAAAACAGGACAGGACTTCTAGTGTTTTGTGTCATAGCCTAAATACATTTGCTAACATTTACCTGGCTCAACTGCAGAAAAAATGCTATATACGCCTCAACTTAAACAAAGAAAGAAAGTCTTTCATTCTCCAGAGAATGAAGTCAGCAAAAACTCCAGGCCACCGTCTGATCTGAAACAGGGCCCTCCCTCCTCAGGAATTTCAAGGACTTCACAATCATAAAGTATTAGTCATGGGCTGGAGAGACAGCTCAGCTGTTAAGTGCATGTGTATACCGCTCTTGCAAAAGACCAAGGTCAATTTCCAACACCCACCCACATCATGTGGCTCACAACCACCTATAACTCTAGCTCCAGAGGCATAGGACCCCTCCGGTCTCTGACAGCACTGGCAATCACATGCACATACCCAAACTCATTCACACAAACACACACTCACACTTAAAAATAATAAATATTTTACAAAGTATTAGTCATAAAAATTTTGGTATGATACATTGTTTTCTACAAGAATACTAAACCAGCCGGGCGGTGGTGGCGCACGCCTTTAATCCCAGCACTCGGGAGGCAGAGCCAGGCAGATCTCTGTGAGTTCGAGGCCAGCCTGGACTACCAAGTGAGTTCCAGGAAAGGCGCAAGGCTACACAGAGAAACCCTGTCTCGAAAAACCAAAAAAAAAAAAAAAAAAAAGAATACTAAACCAGATTCAAATTAAGTATGGACCCCAAACTTGTACAAACATGGGCATAAATAAACGCAAAGTAGAAACGGGAAGTTTCAGCAGTGCAGACATCTGGTTAAAGCATGTGCTCTGGTGAATTAGATATGCTTGGGGTTTGAATACCAATGACGCCGTCTAACAAATAAGAGCTTACTTAGTATTAGGTAACTTATTCGGTCTCACTATGCCTCAGTTCCCCAATCCATATAAAAAGCCGCCAATAACATCTATGGCTAATGAAGTGGCTATGAGGACTAAAGTGAGCTGTAGCTCTGGAACATGGAGCCACTTGATAAAGCTATTAGTACTGGATATCCACACCAGCAAATGGGCTGGCAGAGTTCAGTTCTCCAGGACGATAAAACCTCTTCCACCAGTTTTGCTTGCCTTCTTTCTTTGTAACATAATCAGGAATTCATCCGAAAGTAAGT